GCTTGTGCATCTTATGTTAGCTCGTGGTGCGTTTCACAGCTAATAACAGCTGCATCGGCAGGCAAAAAACACACACATTCAGTGTGTGCCATGATGGATTGACACACGCACACGACACAAGCAAATTGCAAATGTCATACAAGCGCATGCAGTGGGACACGATCCACCCAACATATACTACGTCGTGTACGGGTTTTACTAAGCTCGCGACGCGCACTTCAGTGTTAACCAGATACTGTGCCCTGCGTAAGGGTGTAAGAGATAGCTGATACGGCACTTACCGTTTTTGAGTTAGGTGCAACCAAATGTAAACTGATGTCCTCCATGAGTGTATAGGGCAAGCCCTGGTGTCCAGAGAGGATACACTATTAAAGTGTGGATATTTGTGTGGCAAGGCATAGTCGAGATAGGCTAGGAGTGTTTCTTTATTGGCATGTCATGATTCAGCAGAATGAGTTTGGGTGTATGCACCTCCTCCATCACAGCACTACGACAGCTGATGCCGACAACGGCAGTTACCCACATGAGTTATGTTTTTCGGATCTGGGCTATAAACAGCACTGATGTAGCTATGTTAACGGGACCGAGGTGACGTATGGTGACCGTGCTGACGGCAGGTGTCACTACCAGACCGGCGGTGCCCCGACAACGAGAGTCGTGTGGTGCGCGTCTGAAGGCCTAGGATGAGTATCATCGGCCCCACGAGTATCAGTCAACATACGGAAAGCTGGTCGCTTGATAAGCTTGGCCTTAGCTGGATGTATACACTCCATTAGGGTAATAAACTGCTGTTTTGTGAGCTCGCCGAATGATGTAATTATAGATTATCTGGCTCTAATAGTGGCAATCTTTACCTTGTCCAGACTGACAATGCTGATAACCGAACGCCACCGGAAGCCGCCATCCCTGGATATTGTTGAACCCAACCCTTTGGCACGTGCTGGCAAGAGCCCTTCAAACGCATGCCCGAACGAGCGCGTGCGCCAGAGCGAGCCAGCTCGGGTTTTTGAAAGAAGCCAGGCCAGGATCGGACAGCAGATGGAGATCCTCTCCATCGACCGTGATGCGACCTCTCGATCCGGCCGCTGGGTGGAGCCTCGGCTCCGCCCTCTGACAACACCGCCGCAGCCTCGAGCCGATCTAGGTAGGGACGCGGCTGGGCGGCGGGGTCAGGGGGCGCGGGGTGAAGCACGTTGCCAGTCATCTTCCGGTCGATGGTCTGCCACTGGATTGCTTCCTGTTCAACTGCTTCAATCGCCTGTTTCATCCCGTCCAAGTGTTCATATTTTTCCATTTCTCTCATGTTCAACCTTTGTCTACCCCTGCTGGCATTTGTCTTTCTGATCAGTTCATATCATATTTACAGGCGAAACCACTGGCCGCATGGGTCATACTTTTACCGTAAAATATTCAACTTCGGCGATCCGCCCGGCCCGGACCGGGCGTCAACCTTACCAGAACCTTATAACTTTGTTATTACTCGTCACTGATTTACGCCATTTTAGCAACAGCAGGCCCAATTTTTGAATTTATGCTTGGTAGATTGTTAGGTATTTGCATTGCGTATACAGGCTGTTTTCTCGGACAGCTTTTTGTGCAATATTGAAACATGATCTCGATTCCATCGCTCCGATCCAATTTATACGAAACACGTAAGTTCTCCCACTGCAAAAAATCTGAACACCATGGATCGAAACCGGCCGTCCTGGACACCAAAGCGTCGCAGCGACGCCAGGCTATCACTAACGGACGAGAACAGGACAATCGCACGGCTGACAGCGCGCGCGCGATTCGCCCAGGCCACCAGGCACCGTCGTGAGCAAACCCAGACTCCGATCGGTTTCGGCCGGCTTGCGATGACGGACGTCAGATGGCAACAGCCCCAGGAGAAGCAGGCGTGACAGCAGCAGCGCGGTGCAAGCTGGCGTGACGGTTACACTCACCACCTGATATTAAAATGTCCAACACAAAGGCGTGCAGCGATCAGCTGGAAGACGGTTCATCCCATCGTCTAACAAGCCTATCTTGATGACAAAGTGCTGTGGAGAGCACTTGGGAATATATGGTTATGGAAACTACACAGTCGCATAGCCCTGTTCCATGCCATCAGTATCAGCCGAATTATTTTCGTTTTCGCAATGAGTCAAACAATTGCCACTCGATCTTTTAGACTGTGACTGGATCAACGTCCTTAGGATCACGCATCACCTGAAGTTACTTCCAAGCATGATAATGCCTCCACAAATATTCCGCAAACCCTCTGTCGCTGCAGCCGAAAAAAACGCCACATTGTCCCCAGGCATCGCTATAAACATGAAGCTGCCTGCGCTACGCACAGTCGCGGTGAGCACAGTGCACTTCACGCCCGTATTCCATCTGCAATATATCCCGCTTTTCTGAGCTGCTTCCGCCTCCCACACGGCGGCCGCGCCATTTACGCCGCACGGCCGCCGGTTTCGCCGCCAGGATGGTGGTGGCCAGGATATGCGGCCAAATCCGCTGTCTGCACCGGACAAAGGCCGCTCACAAAGGCGGCCAGTTCATCAATCAGACTCTGCTCCGGCGGCGAGACGGCCGTAAGACTGCTGCATCCGGGCTGGTGTTGGTGCGCCGGTGAGAGGCGTTGCTGGTGCAGCGGTAGGAGGCGGTATCGTTGAAACGGTGAGAGGCGTTGCTGGTGCAGCGGTGAGAGGCGGTGTCGTTGAAACGGTGAGGGGCGTTGCTGGTGCAGCGGTGAGAGGCGGTATCGTTGCAGCGGTGAGAGGCGTTGCTCATGCTGCGGTGAGAGGCGGTATCGTTGAAACGGTGAGAGGCGTTGCTGGTGCTGCGGTGAGAGGCGGTATCGTTGCGGCGGTGAGAGGTGTTGCTGGTGCAGCGGTGAGAGGCGGTATCGTTGCAACGGTGAGAGGCGTTGCTGGTGCAGCGGTGAGGGACGGATCGTTGCGACGGTGAGGGGCGTTGCTGGTGCAACGGTGAGAGGCGGTGTCTGCAGCGGTGAGAGGCGGTGTCGTTACAGCGGTGAGAGGTGCTATTGGCACAGCTGTGAGAGGTGGTGCTGGTGCTGCAGCAACCGACCGTGGGCGGTGTTGGGCAGTGATGGACTACATTCATGGGCATGGATCGTTATTTATACGTCTATGGATAGTTTTGGTACAGCACCAATCCGTTCATGAATGGTGTTGATCGCAGCACTGGCCCGTTCGTGGGAGGGAAGGCGAAGAGTTCTCCCAGGCAGTTGTCTGTGTGACGTCAGTCCTTTCCAAGCTCCCTGTGACCTAACCCGGGCAGGGGTACTTCGGTGCCACCTGGGGCTGCGACAATCAGCATTTGCATTCAGTGACATGGAGCTGAATACGGCTGAACTTTAGAACGAGTGGGGGCTATTAAATGCAATGTAGGGCGGACAAGTTATTCCGCTCCTTTTTTTCTTTTAGGGTGGAAAATATGCTCTCAATATATGCTTTCGATTTGATACCGCCCAATTCTCGGGAGAAATTTGCATCAAGTCCACTGCTATGTAAATCCTACACACCCCACACACACACACACACACCACACACACACCACACACACACACACACACACACACACACACACACACACACACACACACACACACACACACACACACACACACACACACACACACACACACACACACACACACACACACACACACACACACACACACACACACACACACACACACACACACACACACACACACACACACACACACACACACACACACACACACACACACACACACACACACACACACACACACACACACACACCACACACACACACACACACACACACACACACACACAC